AGGAGACAAGGAGCAGGTGTGTGGGGAACTGGCACAGGTGAAAACAATAACTGAGAGGAGGAGCAGAAAGGAGCAGGGGAGGACACCAGACCTGACTGGAGAAGGACACACACACACACACACACACACACACACACACACACACATACACACACCGAGCTGGAGAAGGACACACACACACACACACACACACAACTGAAATAAAAGACCTATAAATAAAAGACCTATAGAAACTAAGGTGGGGAGACTAAGAGACATGAAGAAAACCAGGAGGGAGCTGGGGACAAAAAGGCTGGAGCTACAAGGACACAGAACATGAAGGAACACCTGGAGGTGCTGGGGATGACTGAATGAACACAGGACCTGGGAGGAATGATCTGGAGGGCTGCAAATAGGAGACACATGAAGAACACAAAGAGACACATAAATGAGACGCAGACAAATGACACATGAGGGCGCTATGAGACACAAAAGGAGAAACTAGAGAGGGATAGAGAACACACGGAGACACATGAGGGGAGACGCAGACGCAGACCGTGACAGGGCCGCCCTGTGTCACCGGTTCTGTTCATTACCTTTATGGACAGAATTTCTAGGTGCAGCCGTGGTGTGGAGTGTTTCGAAATTGGTGGCAGGAGAATCTCGTCTCTGCTTTTTGAGGATGATGTGGTCCTCCTAGCTTCATCCAGCTCTGACCTTCAGCTCTTGCTGGGTAGGTTCGCGGCCGAGTGTGAAGCGGCTGGGATGAGGATCAGCACCTCCAAATCTGAGACCATGGTTCTCGACTGGAAAAGGGTGGCTCGCCAACTCCGGGTCAGGAGAGAGGTCCTACCTCAGGTGGAGGAGTTTAAGTATCTCGGGGTCTTGTTCACGAGTGAGGGTAGGAGGGATCGAGAGATCGACAGGTGGATTGGTTCGGCATCTGCAGTAATGCGAATGCTGAGCCGATCTGTAGTGGTGAAGAGGGAGCTGAGCCAGAAAGCCAGGCTCTCAATTTACCGGTCGATCTACGTCCCAATCCTCACCTATCGTCATGAGCTTTGGGTAATGACTGAAAGAACAAGATCGCGGATTCAAGTGGCCGAAATGAGTTTCCTCCGTAGGGTGGCCGGGCTCAGCCTTAGAGATAGGGTGAGGAGCTCGGACATTCGGGAGAGACTCGGAGTACAACCGCTGCTCCTCCAGATCGAAAAGAGTCAATTGAGGTGGTTTGGGCATCTGGTCAGGATGCCTCCTGGACGCCTCCCTGGGGAGGTGTTTTGGGCATGTCCTGCTGGCAGGAGGCCCCCGGGTCGACCCAGGACACGTTGGAGAGGTTACATCTCCAATCTGGTCCGTTAACGCCTTGAGGTCCTGCCAGAGGAGCTGGTGGAGGTGGCTGGGGAGAGTACAGTCTGGAGCTCCCTAGTTGGGATGCTGCCCCCGCTACCCGGGCCCGGATAAGCGGAGGAAGACGACAACGACGATATTTTGCTGTGTGGATGGTTTTGCTGGGATGACAATTAGTTCAGTTTTAGAGAGGTTGAGTTGGAGATGGTGGGATTTAGTCCATTTTGATACATCAGAGAGACGGTTTGATATTCGTGCAGAGACAGTGTGGTCGTCCAGTGGAAATGACAGATAGAGCTGGGTGTCGTCTGCATAGCAGTGGTAGGAGAAGCCATGTGATCGAATGATCTCACCCAGTGAGGTGGTATATATGGCAAAGAGATTAGGTCCTAGTACAGAGCCCAGGGGGGCTCCTGTGGCTAAATGGTGCACGGTAGAGGATTGTCCAAGCCAAGATACATTGAATGATCATCCTGTGAGGTACGATTCAAACCAGGCGTGTGCTTTCTCTGTGATGCCCATGGTAGAGACTGTGGACAAAAGGAATCCATGGTTGACGGTGTCAAATGCAGCCGATAAGTCGAGCAGGATAAGCACTGAGGATTTGGCAGTCGCTCTAGCTTCTTTTAAGGATTTCGTCACTGCTATTAGAGCAGTTTCAGTGGAGTGGCCCTTTTTGAACCCAGATTGGTAAGGGTCAAGCAGACAGTTTTGTGAGAGGTATTCTGTGATCTGCTTGAAATCCACCCTTTCAATGGTTTTGGACAGAAAAGGGAGGAGAGAGATAGGTCGGTAGTTCTCCACATGATTTGGAGGAAGAGATGGTTTTTTTTTAGCAGCGGTTTAACCTGAGCATGCTTAAGAGAGGTGGGAAATATACTGGATGTCAGTGAAGCGTTGATCACGTGTGACTGCTGCAGCTACTGTAGGAGCAATAGCTTGGAGCAGCTTAGTCGGAATGGGGTCAAGTGGGCATGTAGTAGGTCGGCTGCACGTGAGAAGCTTGGACACACAGTTCTCAGTGAGAGGGGAAAACGAGGAAAATGAAGCAGTAGGGCCTGAGATGGTTGGGCTAGAAAGAGTTTGTGGTAGCGAATGTTCAGGAGTGGCCAGTTGAGTAAACTGTTTGCTTATAGCTGCCACTTAGTGAAGAATGAGGCAAAGGTGTCAGCTGATAGATTGTTGGTAGGAGGTGGAGGTGGAGGGGTGAGCAGAGTTTTGAATGTTTAAAATAGTTTCTGAGAGTCAGTAGAGCTGAGCATTTTATCAGTGTAGAAAGCTTTCTTTGCATCAGTGATGCTGGCAGAGAATGAGGACAGTAATTTGTGAAATTTCAATTGATCACCAGGATCTTTTGTTTTGCGCCATTTCCGTTCCGCAGCTCTAAGATTGGTGCATAGAGACCGGAGGGTAACATTTAGCCAAGGGTGCGACTGAGAGGATCTAGCAGGTCTGGTGGCTAAAAGGCACAAGTTATTAAGACAAGAGCAGAGTGACTCGGTGGCATCATTCACTTCATAAGCAGAGAATGTGCTGGGAGATGGAAGAGTGGAGGCAACAAGAGAGGAGAAGTGGTTGGGTGCCAGATTGCGGAGGTTGCAGCGGAATGAGACCATTGGGGAGGAATTTTTCCTCATCCTTTTCTCTAAGTGTGTGTGCTGCTGTAGCAAGTGAATTTCTCCACAGTGGGATAAATATATTCAATTCTATTCTCTTCTATTGTATTCTATTCTTTCTTCTTTATTAAACAAAGTATGAGCCAACTAAGAATAAAAAAATCAAAACGTAGATGGACTTCTTTTGTTACTCAAAGACGTTTTATCTCACACCCAAAAGGCTTCTTCACTTCTAACCACAGGTTCTGGTCTCTGCAGAAACAAACCCATCAGATTTTATTTGGAACAGTTCTTATCTTCTACAGCTGAAAGTGACACAAGCACAACAGAAGAACACATTGACAGAGAGATGCTTCCAGCCACAACTGGATATGGTTATTAATAATGGTAAAAAATTCAATCTAAAATAATATTATCACAACAGAAAAAATATTTTTCAACTCCGGAAACATTTATTTCTGCTTTTGTCACAAAGCATTAATGCCTTTAAGTGAGCATGGGTCTGTTGGCATTCTCAAGGCAGGCCAACATTTCTCTTTAGAAAGCAGTCAAATGTCTCTTCAAATTGGAAGGAAGGTTATATTGAATCAGGTTTTATTCTCAACTGGCTGAGGGTGTCCGCTTTTCTCCTTTAGGAAAAACAAAAGAGGAACATAGTAACTTTTTTAAATACGTGAGCCCGTGAGGTTGCCGAGTCTGCACTCTCTAAGAGACGGTGTGCGACGGTGGCACAGGAGTTAAGCGCTCGCCCTGTAATCGGAAGGTTGCAGGTTCGAGCCCCGCTCAGTGTGTCGCTGTCGTTGTGTCCTTGGGCAAGACGCTTAACCCACGTTGCCTGCTGGTGGTGGTCGGAGGGACCGGTGGCGCCAGTGCTCGGCAGCCTCGCCTCTGTCAGTGCGCCGCAGGGCAGCTGTGGCTACATCGTAGCTCATCACCATCAGTGTGTGAATGTGTGTGTGAATGGGTGAATGACTGATTGTGTTGTAAAGCGCCTTGGGGGGTTCCAGGACTCTAGAAGGCACTATATCAAATACAGGCCATTTACCATTTACCATTTAACACTGTAGCACATGGGTTTGCAATCCGACGCTGGCAGGAGTTGTTTAAAGAACCAACTAACATGCTCGATGCTTGTGAGCATGGACGTAATTTTCACTTTAGAAGTGGGGGGGACATGGAGGGGGGGGGGTATCTTTACAGTATGCTCTAATGGGAAACAGGCTTCAACACAAACGGTTGTTTTCCACTTGGTCCTAGAGCTCAACCAGTGTCAATTTAATATAGCGTAATATTGTTTTTGGATGGTAAAAAGTGCAGGGGTCAAAACTTGACTTTGGAAAAAGTGGGGGGGACATGTCCCCCCTGTCCACCCCCAAAATTACGTCCATGCTTGTGAGGACACTAACCCTAACCAGTTCAGCTAGGTCGGGTCCTTGCTCGACCGCTAAAACCAGAAGCCAGCGGCTCTGAATTTGGACAGTCTAGCCTTCACCTCCACGGTGGCCTGTAGGTCCTGTCACAGCCGTGGCGGCAGCTACACGTGAAGGAAAAACACTAAAGCTAACAGAAATCGAGCAGGAATATTTTTAGGAGCTACAGGCAGCCTTACCTCCATCACAACCATTTTTAGATTAAGTAATTTTGTTTATTCTGGAAGCTTTCAGGACTTACATGTTAACTTGAGATCGTTGCATGCATGTTTTAAGCTACAGAATGAACTGTGGTTGAATGTACACACTACAGAGTATTAACATGTGGGTAATTAATTTAAATGAAATGCATTATAAATGTTGAATACAGTGGGACATTTTCTAATGTTGATTGGACCTTAGCACTTCTTATTTTGCATCAAATGGGTGTAAAAGTTTTAGAAACAGGCTATTTGATTGAAGTGTTTTCAATGTGCATTTGTTAATTCAACATAAGCTTAAAAATGATTAGTTCTGTCTATTCCCTAGCTGCTTTTCTTTAAACTGAACTGAACCAACATACTGCAGGTTATATGTTTGTTTTACATTTTTCAATTAAAAAAATGTTTTTTTTAATCTATTACAGGTCAGCATGCACTATTCTGCACATCTGCCTCTGTGCTGGTGAAGTTGTGGCCCTGGAGGATGAGCCTGAGGAAGATGCTGCAGACGACGAGAGGCTGGTATGGAGGTGGTCAGCGGTGCTTTCTCCTAGAGGAGGTACCAACAGACCACGACTGCTGTTAACAGGCAAGTCATTTATGTAGGAACCTCTATTAAAAACAATGCTGTGGTTTTATTTGCTGAAGAGTCACAATTGTTATACCAGTGGATCCATAAACCGCCTCCTCATTTCATGTTTCTGAAAACGTCTTGTTGTCGACTGAGCCAGCCCAGCAGTCCCAGTAGATGGACGATGGAGTGGACAGTGAGAGGAAGCATCCCAAAGTTCTCTCTGCAGACCGTCCCGTGTGATGTTCCACCCGCTGACCAGAAACGTCCAGCCACGGGTCTGTTCCAGCGCTTCATCCACGTCTGGATCCTCCTGCAGCAGATCCAGCTGCACTGTTAAAGACTTCCTGCTCGCTCAGTTTAAATAAATGATCCAGGAAAAAAGTAACTCATTTTAATCCTGCTTTAACCGTACATAACTGTTCCACATTGGTTTTGATCTGTAAATAATAGTCACGTATTCTAAATAATCTTGTCTCCTTACCATCTTTTCATTTTCTGTTCATGTAACACGTTCAAAAACATCTGTAATAATAAAACTGGTGATAAAATGAATGACCAGAAAGTGTTTTCAGTTAATATTTGCTTTAATAAATGTTTTCAAATATCAAACAAGTAAATAACATTAACATGATAACAGTCCTCTCTCCCTGGAGGACAACCTGGATACCTGCAGTCCTAAACAGAGAAATCAGAGATCACAGGTGACTAAAAGGCAATTACTGTAACATTTATCCACATGAGAAGATAAAAAAATATTAGCCTGGCCTGCCAGACTCCTGCTCTGTTTAATTCTGCACAGAGACAGGGTCTGGGAACTCTCCTATTCAGATAACCCCACCCCGTGAGGATTCTAACCGAGCCAATCAGCGCTGAATAGCGTACGATACACACCACAATGCCGAGTTTGTCATAAACATGGCGACTGAAGGGGAGTTCGCTGCGGCTCTTTCCTTTGTTCTAAATGACTTGGACAGGTCTTTAAAACAACAAGTAGAAGCGCTACAGGCCTTTCTTTTAAAGAAAGATGTTTGTGCTTTCGCCAGACGCCATTTCTGACTACAGCTAAAAAAAAACTACAGCGCCGCGCGGTACAGTCGGCATTTCTGTCATTTTTCTGATTGGTTAGTTTTGAGCTGCCTAGTCCCGCCCCTCATGTCCCTCTCTGCCTGTGAGTTACCAGACTCTCACACAAGCAATTTTTAATTGTTCTTTAAAACGTGTCAACTGTATAAATACCTGAATGTAAAACTGTACTTTTTACAGCAGAACACACGATGAACTACTGTGGCCATGTGTAAATAGCTTCACTCTTCACCTCTAAGCTTAATAAAAATGCTCTGTTGCCCCTAAAACAAATGACAAGCTCAATTTGCTGCACACACACACACACACACACACACACACACACACACACACACACACACACACACACACACACAGGAATAACTAGGATCCTCCATACAAGCTTATTCTGGCTGCTTTCTGCCTAAAATGTAATTTAAAATACAAATATACAAACGAAAAATGTTTATAAACAGAACCGCTTTAAGCTTTTTAGTTTTCTACTGCTATTTTTTAAACAAACTTACGTTTAAAACTTTGCTGCTTTCCTGTTTCCTTTCCTGTTGAAAATCAAATGGCCAGCACACAAAGCATGCTGGGATAGCCTTGCTCTGTGAGGATACAACAGACCCATCCTCAAAATGTGGGTGGAGCGAAGAATGAGTATTCTTAGAATTCGGACAGTACTCGTAGCTGATCTGTGACGTCATCGACCTCAAAATGCGTCCTCACAAGCATCCTGCCCCTGGATTTGGATGCACCCTATGTCTAATCCCGAGGATATCTTACCGTAATACGTGTAGTATGTGCTCCCTACAATAAAACACCTAAAAGTGCTAGAACCAAATATGAGCCACGATGGTGGGCGACGGTGGCACAGGAGTTAAGTGCTCACCCCGTAATCTGAAGGTTGCAGGTTCGAGCCCCGCTCAGTCTGTTGCTATCGTTGTGTCCTTGGGCAAGACACTTAACCCACGTTGCCTGCTGGTGGTGGTCAGAGGGACCGGTGGCGCCAGTGCTCGGCAGCCTCGCCTCTGTCAGTGCAGTGCCAGGGCAGCTGTGGCTACATCGTAGCTCACCACCACCAGCGTGTGAATATGTATGTGAATGGGTGAATGACTGATTGTGTTGTAAAGCACCTTGGGGGGTTCCAGGACTCTAGAAGGCGCTATATCAAATACAGGCCATTTATTTTTCTACTTATCAACTTCTTGTGTGGTATCCTTTTTGTTTGTTACCTAGAATATTCTAGCACAAATCTGTCACTAGCATCAGCCATGAACCTCATGGAACAGCAGTTACAGAATAATTCTTTTGCTTAGAAAATTGGCTGCAATAACCAAATTGACCACAGGATGTAATTCTTACATATTGCACCTTTAACACTTGTTTGTTTCAGGAGAGTAAGCCCCTGTTGTGGGTTTGAGGTAGGCTTATAGTTATGTGTAGTTTTATTTTTATTTATTTTATTTTGTATTTTTTGCTTTGTTTTGTGTTAGTCTATTTTTTTCATTTGGTTGTTTGTAATGGAGTAAAGCTCTGAAGAGAAGGATGTGGGAGGGAGGAGGAGGAGGAGACACGACCAGAGCAGCAGAGTGGTGGAGTTTGCTGACAGTGAACCACCGGCGTGGTACCGTTGGGTGGTACCGTTGTTTTGGTAGTCTGTTTCCAGCTGACAGGAAGCAGACCTCTCTCCTTTGCTCTCCTCACACACACATTCATCCTGACAGAAGCGGATAAATGTGGACCGCAGCGGTTCCGTCAGCGGGCAGCCTGCAGCAGACCGTGTTGCAACGGCATCACCCGGTACCGGAGACCTGCAGCTGAGACTCAGACACCACACCGTTCTGGTGAGTACATGTTTCAGCTTCGTGTCTGCTGCTGTGTCCTACGTCAGACTCAGCCACTGCATCACACCCGTAGGACACCGAACAAGGCAGTGATGAGGTCATACGCGTCGCCTGCAGAACCGGAACCAAGTTTTGTCCTTGGCAGGAAAAGTTGTCTCTGCATCCAGAGTCATCAGGTGGACGCGGACGTGAGGAGACTAAAGATGAAACTTTGCACCTGAACACAAACATCTTCATTAATACCTGAACCAATAGTGTGAGCATCGTGGACACACAATTAGTGTGTGTGTGCGTGCGCGCGCGTGCGTGCGTGCGTGTGTGTGTGTGTAGATATGATTACTGTGTTGAACAAGAATCAGAGCATGATGACACCGATATGCAGTGTTTGCGTTTTCCTGCAGGAATCAGTGAATTAACAGGTTATATGAAAAGAAACCTGTTGGTGTGATGCTGATGCAATAGGTTAAACATTGAGTGATTTATTTTTTAATTAAGTCATTGGTCTGCCTTTCTAAAAACCACCTTTGATGAAAAATTAGAGTCCGGATGCAGCAGAAGATGCTTTTTGATGCTGACGGTAAATAACTCGGCAGGAAAAGTCTCATTTTCTCTGCAGCTCAGAGAGGCAGCTCTGTGGAGGACAGCTGGAAACCTGTTTTCATTTGCTGTAGTGCATGAATTTCCCCTTCCACCTGGGGCCTGAGCTCCGGAGAGAAGGTTTCTTCCAGAAACATATACTCCATCATCTCTCTGCTGCTGTTTGGTCAACTGCAGCTCACATTACAGCTGCTCTGTAGACGCCAGGGTCAGATTTAGGAAGGAAACGATGCTAAGTGTCCTCGGGGACGAGGTCTTTTTAAATGTAGTCTATTAAAGAGACAAAGAGCTACAGTCCAGTGTGTTCAGATCCTCTGGATGCACAGGGAACTGTATTTAGATCCAGCTGCAAGAGGATGAGGAACTGTCAAAGTTTGCTTGGTAACTAGTCATTACATCATCAGGATTACTTCTAGATGTCCATCAGCGCAGGACTGACTGAAACCTGTATGACACTGGACCACAAGTGGACTTCATGGTTAAATTGCAGCCAAATAAAGTTAAAAATCCCAATGCTGATTCTATAATAAACACAAACAGAGAAGGGGCAGCAGGGCTTTAAAAAACATTTGCTTACAGAAGAAGTGGTTTGATCTATGCGTGTTGTGGTACAGTCACATCTGCAGGAGACTCCTGCAGGCTCAGAGTTGGAGTAATGGGGTCTTGAATGCTGGGGACATCAAACAGATATGTGTTCTTCCATCAGGGAGGTATCTGACTGGCTGTGAAGAGTCTGAGTTAGAAAAATAACACCAAAACATGCTGTTATTGAAGGGGCATGTCATCTGTTCTAAAGCTGTAAATTATTCATGACCTGGCCTCCTGAACAGCCTCAAGTTCAAGAAATAGAGTCGTTTGTTTGTTGTTTCCTCTTGGTTGGAGGGCACCAGAGTGTGCAGCAGGCTGTTGTAATGTGAAGTGGGTTCTTCACATCTGCAACTTTTTAAACCTCTTTCACCTTCCTCTGTTCACCTTCAGACCCAAGTCCTCCTCATCCTCAGAAGTTCTTTGCTGGTTGGGCTGTGTGCAGCCATGACATACAATAATATGAAATCCTGCCTCCAGAGGTCATGTGCAGTTATGAAACCAGAACGTGTTTCTTTGTAGCTAGAGCTGTTTAACCAAAGCTGTTTTTTAAATATGTGTCAACAATAAAAACAGAGTTGGCGTTAGGCGAGGGTCAGGACCAGAGGTGTTGTTTCAGAAAGCAGGATGTGTTTGATGCTGTGTGTGAGAGCAGCAGTATTAATGAGGTTTGGCGTCTTCTCATTAGCTGTTATTGAACAATTGAGATGCTCAGACCTTCTCTGCCTTTGCTTGTTGTTGCTGCTGCGGAGAAACAGCAACAGTCTTCTACTGCTGCTTTTTTGTCTTCTTCCCACGTCTGTTTTCATTTCTTCCTACACCTTCCCACTCCGCTCCTTCTCAACAGCGCAGAATTTAATGGTTCATCCCGTTTTCTCTGCTTTTAAATATCACATTTGTCAAGAAACCAATGAATGTTGTGAAGGAGCTTTAACTGATTGCGTTTCCTGCTCAGTGATAAGTTTGGAGGTGTGAACATTGGGGGGGTTTAGGTGGTGAGAGTTCTGGCAGTGAAAAGGGCCTTTTAACATTCGGATAGGAGGCAGCTTGTGTGAAGCTAGTGAGCGTTTTCCGTCGCCTGTTAGGACGGCTGTCGGCTGCTGCTGGCTGCAGATGGAGAGCTTTTCTGTGGCCTGAATCATGTGTGATTAATGAAACACAAATCTGTTGTAAAAGCCATTTCTCCATGCTACATGCTGAAAACGCCTTCTGGATCTGTCACATCCCTCTGTAGCAGGCCTCCGTGAGTGTAGGGATCATTCTTGGCTGTGTCCTATCATTTCAGGGCCAGTAATAGATTTATTTTTCCCTGATGCTCAATCGCCTGCAGCAAACTGTTAAAGTGTCCAGCTGAAAATGGTATCACACAGTCAGATTCAGAAAGCTGCATAAATCACCTCTAAATTTTTCACTGTCTTGATTTGGCGGTAAAGTGTTCTTTAAAGCAGTCTTAAAACCTTAACTGCAGCCATTAATCCAGCATGTTCTGGATGATCTAGAATGAATGTGCAGTAATGATAACATTCAGCTGTGTGATGCTGCTAAATGCTTTTTGTGAATGAGACTTGGGCCTAGTCCACACGTAGCCGGGTTTTTCTAAAAACGAATATCCGCCCCTCCAAAAACTTGCATCCACACCACCTCGTTTTAAAAAAAAACTGTCCACACGTACCCGGATAAATACGTTGTTAAGGACATGCCAGACCTGTAGGCGGCAGTACTTCCCCCGTTCTTAACCTCGTCCTTCGTCTGTGGTCTTCCGCAAGGAGCAGTAATTCCGCTTGCAAAAACAAACAAGCAAAAAGCGCTTGGACAATTGATAAAGCGAGCGCAGC